CGCCCGCGACGCTCTGCTGTTTTCTTCTGTTCCCTTTTTATTCTTGGGCACAAGTTCGCCCCATTAAACGTTTCAGCTTCCCCAGTTATTCTTTGTTTCATCGCCTGTTCATTCGTGACAAATGAAAGTCGTTAATCTCAGCTCACGCTTTAAGTTTGAAAAGAAAGGCATTAGCTTTGTTTATAAAACTACCGTCACGTGTGTCCGAAAAAAATATGTTCGTGTCATCCGCATAGATAACATATTTGAAACGGGAGTCAATTTTTACAATATCATTAATGTATACCAAAAACAAAATAAGAGGTTGTTTAACGATGCTACCTTGCGGAACTCCAGATGTAATATTTAAATGAGATGATTTATGCTTATAAATTTGAACAAACGATGTTGTATGATCTAATAAGTTCAAATGGAAGATTGCGGATGCCCTATGCGAACATTTTATCAAGCACAATGAAATAATTAATACATTCAAATGCTGCACTAAAGTCTAAAAATATTCCTGGTATCAAAACTTTACCTTCGAAGTTCTGAAGTATCAATTATTTTTCAGTCAGTAATGCTGTTTCGGTTGATTATGCATCCGGAAGCCGAATAGGCATGCCGTAATAGGGGAGTGTTTATCGATACAATTCAAAGTACGAGTGTGAATAATTTTTTTTAAACTTTTCGGAAACACTAGCAGTATGGATGTAGGGCGGTAGTTTCCTAATTTGTTTTTATTTCCAGCTTTGAAAAGGGCTAGAAGTAAATTCAATCACTCGTTGCATTTTTTAGGGAAAACACCACAAGACAATGCAAAGTTGCTGATGTACGTTAGACATGGTGCAATAACTCCAACCAAATAATTTACCGGTTTAATTTGTAATTCACCTGAATCACTGTTGTTAAGACTCGATATTGAAGAAGGGACTTCAGCTTCACCTGCAGGGTAGAGGGATAGTGAGTCCGGTATCTGCAATATGTTATTTGACGCCTCAGTGTTATAACTGCTGCTACAAAATTCTTATACAAAATTTGAGAACATTCCTAAGGAGCATCGAAAAGATATTTTTGCATGATGTTGACGAGTGTGCCAGGGTTCTGTGAATAACGTTTTCACATTCTCGACCTATCTGCACAACATCTGCGGACAAAATCGACAATCCTCCCATAATCTTGAGCTGTATCAGAGAAACATCTGCCCTCTAAGTGTTGCGGTTATGAGTGCGTCTGTACAATCTACTCACTGCAGCGTTTACTGGAGATAGCGAACGATAAATCCCTCGATGGAGCCAACAATCCTTTCAGATAACTCTGATATCTTTCGTTTGTCTGACAGGTAATCATGGTCCAAAAGAATGTCATCCTCATTCATGTACACCCGTGAGCGATATGAAGGTGAAGAGCCCCCTCTCGTTCTTGACGCTCCTGCAAATTTTGGAAGAAACTCTGTTCCAGAAGAGGGCTAGAACGCAAAGTTTAGACCCCAAGCCACATACCATTTGAGACGTTCAGAGTTAATATAGCTTTAGGGAGCCGTAAAACAGGCAAGAAACCAAGTAAGGTGTTCACCTTCATATTGCCGGCAGGTGTACGTTTGGAACTCTCCGCGAAACTTCTTCGAAAAGTATACCAGTTTATGACGTCAAGATAATTTTGTTGTACTGAGCCGCTTGCATGGAGAATCTTACCGACGTTCAAGAGGGGGCCAGTTGCTGGAAGTTACATCACGCACTTCATTTAACACAATTCATTCACATTTCATTTAGCTCTTAAAAGCACAGGCAAACTATCTTGAGGTTGGGTTGTTGTTGCATCCTGCACTAAACCTAATAGCCTAAAAAAAAAGAGAAAAAAGCTCCAGGTGTTTTGGTTACTTTTTGTGGGTTGGAAAGTACTTAAGCAATGACGTTTTGTTTTAGTAGATCAGGGGTCGGCAACCCGCGGCCCGCAAGGCGATATCATGCGGCCCTCGAAATGCTACCAGAAAAGACCCCCTGCCCCCCTCCCCCAGCACACACACACTCTCCAGGACCAATGGCGCAAGAAGTATAATTGGTAGCAAATGTGGTGTAATTGAGCGCATTAATTTCTGAATGGCACACCCGGGGGTTAGTTCATTATTCACGTTCATCTATCGGCAATTGTTGTGCATCAGGGTCATGCATCGGGAATCAATAATTAAAGTATGTCGTATCTGGCATAAATGTCGTCCGTATTCACGACTTGTATAATGCATCGTTCATTTCAACAATTTCGTTGCACACAGAGGCTCACTATGGGGCTGTCCAGTACTACACAAAAACAGCAAGAGCTTTGCTATTTTCGTTTTTAGCTTCGTAATAACGTCCTCGCAGAGCCTTGTTTTTCCTGATTGGGTGTGCGACTTGACATTGTTTTGTAGCGTGAGCTACGCTGGCCGAGGTTGAGCAGTTTCGCGTGGCTGTCAAAGAGCCATGCTGCGCAAGCGCGAGGAGCAGTGACGTCACACTGTGCACAGCTGGCGCGCGCTCCGCCGCCGCCGCGCGCGCCTCACCGGTCTGCGCATGCGCGAGGAGCAGTGACGTCACACGACACGCAGCTGGCGCGCCGGAGCCGCCGCCGCCGCGCACTCCGCCGCCACCGCGCGCGCCTCGCAGGTCTGCGCATTCCAGAGGAGTGACGTCATAGCCGCGGCAGACGCACTGGCGCCGCCGCATTCCCAGCTGTGCGCCACCGTTGCGCAGTAGCCAAGTCTGACGCTGCACCGGAGCCGCTTGATAGCGCCTTTCATTTTGTGCGCATAAGCTCACGCTACGTATATCCTGGCAAAGCCGAGCTAAGCCAACGCAATTTTTTTTAACTGATTTCTCACACCCCGGAAAGACATTCGCATTTTCTAAATTTTATTCTCAAGATAGACCTCGGCCAAGCTAAGGAGGATTATGCGACGAAATTCACTGATCATTTAATCCCCAAAGAGATAATGGGTTGTAGGATGTATTTCCAGTGAACGACTTCGTTAAGGTTTACTCTGGCCTTCCTGAATCAAAGTGTTCACATCTGCGAAAGCCGCAGCAGCTTTTTGCAGTGCATTATACATCGGCGAAGATATTTAGATGGATACCGCAAAGGCAACCAATCATGTGTTTGCGAATGACCCAGAACCACCTCCAAAATGTTTTACGGCTTTCAGTTAGTAGCTTTAGTGTGAATGTTTGTTTCGGCAAGCAATATGGAATACCAAAAATTTTACTGAGAGGGGGCTGAGAAATTGAAAGTTACGTGTGCCTAAATCTAGAAAAAGTTTGTACGTAACATTCACCTTGGGGGACTATTTTTTTTATTAATTTGCACCTTTCCCCTCCCCCTTTTAATGCGCAAGTAGAGAGCCACGTTGCTCTCCACCTACGCATACCACCAGGAAGTAACCAAGTGGAAGTTCACGTGGCCATTAATTCAAACGACCATAAGAACAAACGCCTCTTTCGCAGCAGGCAGCGAGTCATTGTTATTCTCTTCACCCAAATCAACGTTTTTTTCTCTTTTTTTTGCCCGTTTCATTCAACGCGACGTCTCACCGCCATCGCATCCACTAACAAACTGCATAAAGTCGGATACCCAGCTGCTGCATTTTGTGAAACTTTCATCTGCAGAGCTGTGTGGGCTTCTTTTGAAAAGCCTGCGGATCTATCTATGGTATGATACAATTTTTTCTACGGTCCTTGGATGCGGTAGGCATGTATCGAAGGCTTGTCAAGCACATTTGCAGGATTTACACGAATAAAGGTGCAAAGAGAGAGCAAACGCCTGCAGTTCTCGGTAAAAGGAGACCGTTTGTGGTTCCTCAGTCATCCTTGCAGCTTGACGTTTCAACAGGTCTTTGTTTGCTCCATCGAAGCTCCCAAGCAGTGAAAGGTTTTATCACTCACGATGCGATTCTTTGCAAGGTCACTAATGACGTCTTGTAACTGAGTAATTTTTTTCGTTAGACGTCACTGGGATTGTTGAAAAGCTTTAATTCTCTTCTTGCTGGCTGTTTGTAGATTGCAGTAGCGCGTAACCTCCCTCGGCAAAAAGGCTTTCACAAGAGTGTCGTGAACAGGTTGTGCCTCTAAAGATGCAGAGTTTTGTTACACTTCCATTATATTATTACTGTTCCAGAATGCAGCAAGTTGTTTCTGATATGGTTAAGCGTATACTTTTGGCTCGAAGCTTATGCCGCAGTTTCGCGGTGCATGTAATCGCGATAAATAATTGCCAGAGGCCTTTACACAGGCTTGCTCTTTCTTTTTTTGTTTTCTAAAACTTTTCACGCGATATTAAACCGACGGAAATTTTATTGCTTTAAAGATTCTATAACTGTATGCTGTACACTTTCCACCGGCGATTGTTTCTAGTGTTCATATTTATATGCTTCGGTGTATTCTGGTAATCTGTTTCGGACGGAGGCTAAACGGTTTATTATTGGTGAAAAGATCCGATTAAAACTATGAGTTCAAGTTGACGATGAGGCGAGTTTTGACAAAAACTATTCTAACTTGGTCAGAAATATCCACAAATCGTTTTTTTTTTTAATTTTTAAATCGAGTTTGTATGTTTAACAACAACGGCTGTTTTTTTAGTTTTAGCCAATTTTATACTTTTGACACCAACAGATGTCTACCGGTGTTTTCGGGTTAAAACAGGAAAGTCTACAGCCTATTTAATAGCTTGTCGCCAGAAAACAAAGATTGATGGTTACAAAAAAAAAAAAAAAATCGAGGCACACTCATGTAGAATCGCACGGCACATCGACACAAAAAACAAACGTAAAATCAATGTGCTTTATGACCGAATATACGATTGTCCACTTCAATTAATACATCCAAACTTCGTCAGAAGCACTTTATCGAGAAGATTGTCGCCGCTTGCGGGAAAGCAGGGTCATTTGCTGCTATTGGCGACGTCCAACTATCTCAAGGGGAGCGCTCCCTTGCCCAGCACATGCCGCGCTTATTTTGATATTTCGCAGCCGATATAATCTTGGTCGTCCAGCGACGCCGTTGCAGGGAGACAGACACACCCCGGTCCTGAGGGCGTCACTGAAGAGTGGAAACGAGTCATGCTGGACATCGTCTGGAAGTGTCTGGCCACGGGATGTGTCGCAGGACTCGGTGTCCTGCTGGTTCAGTACATTTGGGACCAGCTGAAGAGGAACTTCAAGAAGGGTCTGCCGCCGGGACCTTACGGCCTCCCCTTCGTCGGTTACCTGCCGTTCATGCCCAAGCACGGCCATCGCGGAGTGGAAGCCCTCAAGGATAAATACGGGACCGTGTTCGGGTGAGTGCCCCGCCGAATGACTGCACCACCCAAAAATGTTGACCATTTCAGGAAAGGACAGCAGGTCGGTGCCCTTATAAGTCTTGAGGCGTATGACACGTGTTTTGCATCATTTCCGAAGCCATGAACGCTTGCTGGCTGAGCTGTAAAAATCGCACTCTGGGTTGTGAATTGAGAATCATCGGAAATGCGAATAGACGCGCTTGCGAGACTATGTTGATGAAACTTACCTGTGATACCATAAATGAAAGATGGCAGTTGACATATTGCAGGAATAGTTCTTAAATGGGTACTCCGGTGTTTTTTTCAAGGTCTCCAATTTGTCTGAAAATTTCCTAAACAAATCAATATGCATTGCTGAAATAGTATCGCAAATATTAGGCCAGAATAATTTGTTTTTATCGAAGTTATCGCATTTACAGTTTTAGTGCTCATCGTGTCTTCCGAACTGAACGTTTCTACTGGCACCGACGAATTGACGCCAGTGACAAGGAGGGGTTCCTTTTTTGAACTGTAGGATTTGTTCGCCAATGATAACAAGCAGCATGATTGTGTCAAGTTAAGGATTTGGAACTTCGCTCCAGCACTCGCGCAGCAGCACGAAATAAATGCTCGGCATTGTCAAGTTTTAGAGATTACCTGCTTGACTGGCGAGCCTGCCCGCCACTGGCGCTATGGCATTAAGAAGTGCGGGTATATTTCACAATAATGATCCTAAATTGCGTGATATCAAATAGGATACTTTAAAGAGTAAAGACCGCGGATTCACAAAATATGGTACGTCGGGGTAGCTCAAAACAATTGCCGGAGTACCGCTTTAAGCCGTGGGCTCGTGCATCATACAAAAGCAGACTCGTGCGTAAGGATTACAAGTAACTGATTACTTGTAATAAATGACATCTTTTGTAACTTTTCAACGCTTCAGTTTTTTGCCTGAGTTTACGTTCGCTGTAATTCAATTACTATTCTTCTGTATCCTTACAAGTAATCAAATATTTTCTGAAAGAGCTAAAATTATTGAGTTACTTTTGTACGTAAAACATCGAGCTGTCTGCCCATGCCTCACTCGTCTATGTTGTACCAACGTTGGACACTTTGTCTTACCCCTAAACAACTATAAAAAAATTAAAGACATTTACAATTTTCTGAAATGCCGAATTAGAGCGCAGCTCTTGAGGAGGAGAGGGGGAAGATATGAAGGGAGGGTATGCCCCTCCTCGCCCTCCGTACCCTCCGTACCCTCCCCTCCTCCTCTCCTGTGCCTCTCCCATTTAGCGGAAAATTATCGATCGATTTGCCGCTAAATTTAGCGGAAAATATTTTATGCTAAATTTAGCGGAAAATGTTTCCCGGGTTGAATGGCGCCGCGTGTGACGTCACGAGGCTAAAATTTGAAACATGTCTGCTTCATATACATATGTATGCTTCGAACATATCTGCGGACAGTTTTTGTGTTACTAGTGTGACAGGCCCGTCACACAAGGAGGAACCGCGCCTTTAACAGTGACAGCAGACGAACCGCGCTTCCGAGAATTTGGTACGCAATTACCTTAATAACCTCAGCCCCCTTTTCGGAGATCTCGCTGCCTGAATATCCATCGAGAAGGAAGATCCAACGAGCCGAAAGATCCAATTAGTCACGTGACAGGCGAGCAGGTATATCCATCGAGACAGAATGTCCAATTGAGACGGAATGTCCAACAAGTATGAATATCCAACGCGACGGAAGATGCAACCAGGCCTGAATGTCCGTCGCGACTGAATATCCAACGATACGAATATCCAACCAGGTCTGAATGTCCACTGAGATTGGATGTCCAATGTGTTATGTATATTTTATTTTTGTAGTTTTTCGATCATATTGCTCCCAAATAAATAATCATAAGCCAGGCCCTTTTTTTACTGGCACATTTTTGTATCCCATGTGAAAGGGCTTGCTGGAATTCTCTAAAAATATATTTATCAGTGTAAAGATCACATTCACAAGATACGTGAGCTCCGTGCCAGGATGGAATGGGAAATAGTTTTTTTTTCTTCTTCTGGTGTAATTATTTTTTGGTCAAAAACTCGTTGTACGCTTCTTTTTTTTTTTGGGGGGGGGGGGGGGGGGACACGCTGTACATTGTTTCGACGAATCCTGCAGGGTCACGTTGGGCAGCCGATACGTGGTGTTCCTGTGCGACTTCTGCTCCATCAAGGAAGCCCTGAGCCAGGACAGTCTGCTCAACAGGCCGGACGAGTTTCCTTTCAAGGTTCACAAAGAATTCCAGGGTAAAGATTCATTCTGCCTGAGGTAGGATAGACAGAGGCTAGGGTGGGAGTTTTTTCTAGCCGGTCATACTCTGAGCTGCTGCCAACAGAAGGGGACGTAGAGACGAAGCGATGAGCGATGAGGCATCATGCTCAAATGATTGCGTTGGTCATGAAAGAGATGATGGGGATAGTGCTGGGTGAATTTATTCCACCTGCACACAAAACAAGCGTTCCTTACGGCAACGTTGGGAACCGATAAGGCAGCTAGAAAAATGCGTGCTGTCTTTGCATTGTTCTTTTGTTTTTTGAACGATTGTAGTCCTTCAGTCCTTCAATGCTTACTTCAAAGTAATTGACCTCTTTGTCTTTGATTGGTATAGTTAAAAATGAATAATATTTTATATAATGAGTGTCTGCGAGTAAGGGTTGCAAGCTCCAGTAAAACTTCGAAGTCTCTGGGATAACTTTAAACATCAAAATGGTTTCAAGGACATTGTTGAAGCACTTTGAAAACAGTAAAAATAAAGAGAATAGTGTAGTAATTTTTTTTTCCTATTTAAATGATGCATTTCAAAAGTGCTCAACTTGTTTGTACATAGACCTTAAAAACAACATTACTCTTTTACACCGCTGGAATGAGACATTATTGAGAGGTAAGATTGCATCTTTAAAAGCAAGCTTTAAGTCATAGTTTGATTACTTCCTCGTATTAACTTTCTTTAATCTTCTTCTTTCAGATCCATCTCAGGGTAACGATCGATCACTGTATTGCATATTTATTAATTTGACTGCATAAGTTTGCGACGAATCAGTATTGAATTATTGGGAAACGATCAAACATAACTTAACATGAAATAATTCCGAGACTGGGAGTAAAAAGGACACATTCGACACACTACACATTTTAGTGTATGTGCCGTTTTTACCGGCAGGTTCCTTTTTTCGTGCTAAATAATCATTAAGTCCTTTGCGCTTTGAGATTCAGAACATATCATTTTAATCATGTTTACGTAACGCCAAATATGTTTTCTTTTTTCAAGTTGTCCAGTTTATTGAGAGATCCGGGTAGCATTCCTGTTTCCAACCAATTTTACGCTCTTACGTCGTAGGTTTGATGATCTTGAACGGACCAGTGTGGAAGGAGCAACGAAGGTTCTCGCTCCGACTCTTCAAGAACTTGGGTATCGCAACCCAGGCCATGGAAAGGCATATTCACGTAAGGGATACGTACTGTACAGACTTCGGAGTGGTGTAGCTTACGGCTTACCCCAAAAGGGAATGCCACGCACTCAGTCCCAGAGAAAACTCCAAGAGATAATCACTGTACCAGAAATGCTAATTTAGTAGGGAATTTTAGCAAACCGTTACCGTGTTTTACGTACCGCACTACTGGAGCCTTTGAAGCATGATTTAAAGCATGCCTCAAAAAGTTGTCTCTAAGAACGAAAAAAAAAAAGTTTTCGCTGGACTGTTAAGTTAGCAGTATGTGAAAGATCGTAGAATCGTAGATTACATATTTGTTGTGCGTGTGAAAGCACTTTTGTTTATTCGCCATTCGCCGAGCACTAGGACTTGGTGTTTGGTACTCGGACAACTGCCCATAAAATGCGGCGAGCATGCAACTTGTTTAGAGCGCACCAGGCTACAGGTTTGAATTATCTTGCAAGTAAATACAATTAAAAAAAAAAGAAAAATTGTCTTTAAGACGACCCAGATGTAAAAACGATCTGCGAAGATGGGGCCTGGTTGTATGATTTATTTGAACTCGCTCGTACTTCACGCTTGCGGTTAGCCACTGAAGTCACATGTGTTTCAGGTAAAATAAAATCTGTCCTTATCGAAGACAACTTTCAAGGCATACGTTGTACATGAAGAGGTTCTTGTATTCCTGAAAAAAGTGTAAAGCTTTGCGAAAACACCCCTCTAAACTTTTGTTTTAACGAAAAAAGAAAACAAAAACTGCGCATTGGTGTACTCTTATTCTCCGCCCAAACGTCTAGCGGTCATAACCACATGCCAAGGTTCCAGAACTAACAGTGTTCTTATTCAGACGTTATAAGGGATTTTCTTAAATATTCAATGGGGAAATGACGGCCGGCGGAATTGAAATTACCAAAAAATCACCTTTGACTTTTGACTAAGACGACTGTTAGTTCTGAATCTTTGGCATCTGTTTTGAACCGCTAGAGCACTTGAGTGCAGGTTGAGGCGTTCGGCAAAATCCAGTTTATTTAAAGCAAAAAAAAAAACAATAATGGGAAAGGGGGGGCGGCACATTCTAGATTGGCTTTCGAACCCGTCTGGTTCCACGTTTGAGCTCCCGGCTTCCAAAACGCAGGACGAAGTGGGCCATCTGCTCCAGGAGTTCCGCGACAAGAAGAGCAAGCCCGTGCTCCCGATGACTCTGCTGACGCCCAGCACTTCTAACATTATCTCGGCCCTGGTGTTCGGCCGGAGGTTCGAGTACTCAGACCCTGAGCGGATCTACCTAGACAAACTGATTGAGATAATCCCGGCTCTGGCCGCCCAGACCTCCTTCATCAACTTCTTTCCCTGGCTGCGCAACTTGATGGTCTTCTTCAAACTCGGCGCCTGCGAGATGCTCCGAGACGCCCTGGTCCGCAGAGAGGATTTCGTTGAGTGAGTAGAACTTGTGGGATCTTTTCACCTTATACTACGGCCGATTCGATCAAGCCACGATTTAGTCGTTACCAAGGAAGTCACACAACAGAGCAAGCTCAGTCAAGCACCTTATCAACTCACATGACGTCGCCCTAAGTCTTGTTCTCCTCCGGTGGCGTCTGCAGATGAACCGCTCCCTTCATGAGGGCTCCCCCAACAAAGACTCCAACCGGAGACCATGAAATCGAGACTCTCCGCAAAAACTACCAATTAAGATTCTCAAGTCAAAAAAGTCCGGACACCCCCCCCCCCCCCCCCCCCCCCCCCGACCCCCTTGTCTCGCGCCCCCTCCCGCTCCAATCGCGGATCTCAAGCCCGCATTAGGTAACGGTCACGGTCGAGCGCCACAGCGCCTGTGTGGCGAGAAATCTCGGCTCGGTACTCGAGAAGTGCACATATCTCACATGGTTCTTTGGTTCACACTAAGCTGGAAGCAACACCTTACGTCTCTAGATTTTCGATGAGTAATTGGAAATGAGTAAGTGAAACGCTCACGCAAAGTTGTGCCCGGGCGTTGCAGCTTTTGTCGACATGACAGGCATTGATTGTTTTGGCATAACTTTATAATTTTTATTTGCGTAGGTCAAAGATTGACTTCCACGACGAAACGTACCAGGATGGCGTAGTACGGGACTACATCGATGGATTCATCTACGAAATGAAGAAGCAGGAAGGCGACCAGAAAGCATTCACAAGTACGCTGCCCTTTCCTTTCATATATATATATATATATATATATATATATATATGTAGCCGTCGCAACAAAGTTTGTATTAAAAACTCCGACAAACGCGGTCCATTGTTTTATATTTACCCTACTTGACCTAGACCTACGTTTCAAGCCTGGTAGGCCCTTCGTCAGTCTGTGAATGACCTACCAAGCTTGAACCGTTTCTCTCTGCATACACAGCTCGTGTTTGGCGACCTTCTTGATCTAGAAAACTATCTCCTCTTTAAGGGCAACTATGTTTTGAATGTATTACTCTCAGTGTCTTCTTTCCCTCCCCGTTGCTGTTTATATATATATATATCTATATATATATATATATAAAGAGAGAGAGATAGATATATATGTGTGTTCTTCATCTAGTAGTATGCAAAGGTTCCTGTCAAGACCTTGCGTTTCTAATAAAAAAATATTTATTTTATTTTTTATATATAAGCAGCAATTTCGATAATCATTTAGTGACTTCTAGGTCTCATTATAACGATTCCTAAACTGAAATATGACAAGATCTAGAATACTTTGCCCGTCCGATGCACAGGGAAACGTTTCGTTATAGCCATTTTCAGAGGCTGGATTAACGCACTAGTCGGACGTACTCACAACAATAAGATGGTAAGTTATGCCGTACAACGTGCCACTGAAGTTTGATGAGGTGTCGCTAAGCCTCTTCTTTTTTAATAATGAACAGACTCGATATATTTTAGTCGTGGCAGTGAAACAAAAAACATTACTCGTAAAACAAAACAGAGCAACTGTATTTTTTGCCTTGAAGAAAAGGTGGCCAGCGAAGCTGTAGAGCACCACAACACAGGATTAACCAAGAGACACACAAAAGCACTTCACCAACAGTTGATTTAAAGTATATATACATCATTCTGAAGCGGTAGAGATGAGTGTTTTATGGTCACTATGATATATACAAGCTTACTTGTGCCAGCTAAACACACGCGACTCTGCGATACGTTTTATCCTGACAAGCAGATTGAAGGGTCACCAATGCATGGACTCTAACTTTTTTGTAATAGCCTTGGGCAGTACGATTTCTTTTCCATGCCTTATTTTACTTTGAATACCAAGTTGTGTCTGTAATTTGTTTTATTATGACTGATGTGTCACTCCTGTATTTCACGTCCTTGCATGTTCAACTCATTCTGACTTTTATGTGCACAAATATCAAAGCCTTCATGGTGTTTCGGCACGCAGTGAATACCAATACCAACTACCAATACACAATAGGTTACATTGCAACTTCGGTGAGAGTATTCGCTAAAGTTAAATATATACATATAATGCTTTACGTATATAAAAGCTGCTTAGTCCATATGTGTAAAGCAGTGAGGTCACCCGATTCGAGAGGGAGAAGGCCCAGTGTTCTCATATGTATCTCCATTATCACACGTTTTGACTTCTTTTCTTACCAAGATGCGTTTCGAGGTGACCGAGCGTAAATGGATTTTGATATATTGGAGCGCTTTCGCATGCAATTTAATTTCTGCACACGGATACCAAAAGTGCATGGAACCTTAGCCATATACAGCTTCGCTGTGAAAAAATTAAAGCCGTTTACAACTCCCTGTAACGCCGAATTAGAGCGCAGCTCTTGAGGAGGAGGAGGGAAGGGTACTGGGGGGTCAGTTGACCTCCGAAGGGGGAGGGGGGTCACGTGACCTGAGGGGTCACGTGACGATGACGTCATCAGTGATGATGACGATGACGTCATCGGCATCCGCATCGTCATCATCATCATCACTGATGACGTCACTGATGACGTCATCGTCACGTGACCCCCCCCCCCCTAGGTCCTCCCGAAGGAACCCGAGGTCCTCCCGAGGTCCTCTTGAAGGAGCCTGAGGTGCTCCCGAGGTCCTCCCGAAGGAACCCGAGGTCCTCCCGAGGTACTCCCGGAGGAACCCGAGGTCCTTCCGAGGTCCTCCCGAAGGAACCCGAGGTCCTCCCGAAGTCCTCCCGAAGGAACCCGAGGTCCTCCCGAAGGAACCCGAGGTCCTTCGGGAGGACCTCGGGTTCCTTCGGGAAAATTTACCCATAATTAGGGATGTCGCGAACCAGCCGAGGTTCGATTTCGAAAGGTTTCGCTACTTTCAAAGCGAACTGAGGTTCGAATCGAAAAATTTCGATATTTTCGTACCGACCGAGGTTCGAATTCGAAAAATTCGCAACCTTCGATCACAGTGGAGTTTCGAATTCGAAAAGTTCGAAGCTTTCACGGTTTATAAAATTTCGGGTTCGAATATTTCGAATGTTTTTTACCTGAGGTTCAATAAATTCGAAGTTTTCGAACTTTCCGAACTTGAAAATTTGAGATATTTGAATATTTCGAATTTCCTCGGATCTGAAATTCGAAAATCGAATATTTTGAAATTCTTTGGATATAAAATTCGAAAAATCCGAACACTTCGAATTGGTATAAACATAAAGTTTGACAAATTCGAATATTTCTAACTTATTTCTACATAAAGTTTGAAAAGTTCGAATGCTTCGATTCTCTTTTAACGCTAAATTTTTAAAAAATCGAAGGTTTTGAATTTCTTTTAGGTCCAAGTTTTCAAAGTTCGAAGTCCGGTTTTCATGTTCCTCCACAATTTCAGTTTCAAATAATGTTTTCACGACTCACTGTTTTTCACAAAATCAGGTTTAGAAAAGATAGAGTGTGATATTTAGACTCTGCGAAGTTGGGTCAGGCAATTAAATGAGACGACGAGTGTCCCGGATGTGCTGAAATATTTGCTAGTGCAGATGCAGAGTGACGTGTGACCATAGATCAGTAATTGTGACCGCCAGCGCTGGGGGGGGGGGGGGGGGGGAGGAGGGAGGGAGGGAGGGGGAGAGGGGAGGGGGGGGTTAGGGTCTTTAGCGTGCATCACACAGTAGTAATCACACGAACGCACTGTTTTACGGTACTCATCCAGTTCGAAACGTCCAGGGGCGGGCAGGAGGTTGAAGCTCAGAAAAACCTTGAAGCGACGTGGCAAACTACCTCCCTACCCCTTGCAGGCTGGTAGTAATCCGATCGAACACCGCCCGAGTGACGCTGACATGTAGTAAATTAAGTTTGTAATTGTCCTGGAGGTTTATTTTCCGGGACGGAGGAAACGCCTCGCAAAAAAGCACAGAAGCCGACACACCTCGAGGTCGAGGAGCGTTCTACCATACAAGTGGCGTCGGAAGAAGAAAAACGGGAGGGGGGCTGCATCCCCCCTTTCCCCCTTCCAGATATTTTGGACTGTTAAAGAAAACAATTCGGGGAATGAGGGCGTGGTCGAGGTTATTTTAATCTGAAATTATTTATGCATACGTATAGCTACTGTCGCTCTTCACTGCATAAAAGATCGAGTAGAGCGTCATTCTCTAAAACTCGTTGTCAGAAGGCACTATTTGTCACATGCTTAGTGGTTCGGAAGTTCTCAGCTATGTCTTTTCGACCTGAATAACTGTGCCATTGATAAAAAGAAATTAAAAAAATAAACATAACAATAAATGCGGGGGTAAAAAGCTGAAGAAAAACAAATTATCAAGAATTCGCCGGAAGTGTTGTATTCTTGCATATTCAAAAGCTCAGAACTTCGAAACAAGTTTCTCCTACCAAAATGTGTGCAGGCTAAAAGAAACACGTCCCAAGAACGTGAAGCGAAAAAACAAATGTTTATTTTTTAATGACGTGCTGAACTTAACAATATCAGATATCTTCTCCCATGAGTTAATTTAATCCTGAACGTGAAAAAACAATAAATACATTATTTTGTATTCTGCAGATGGCAATGATACGTACTGTGTGTAGTGTTAATTTAAATGCGATACCTCAAACAACTTATACGAAAAAAAATACCAAGTTTAGGGCATAACTACCCATAGATACATGGTTGGACATTTCTGCGAAACTTATCTTAAATAACAATAATCACATCTTAAGACGACTCTTACCTACGCTATACATAGATCACGCTAAAAAAAGTTTAACATCTCTACCATAAATAGCTTCGGCTATAGCGCGCTTCAAATATGGCACAAACGACAATCGTCGAAAAACTGTCGTCCTTCCTCGCCCCTTTGAGAATTTATTTCTTTAAAACTGAGCCCGCCAAAACACTGAAATAAACGGCATTGTCTTTCGTAAGGAACGCAGCACCGCATGCAAAAATTCGAGAAAAAAAAGTGAAAGTCGTTTACCACTCGCTGTAACGCCGAATTGGAGCGCAGCTCTTGAGGAGGAGGAGGGGAGAGTACTGAGGGCCACGTGTTCTCGGGGGGGGGGGGGTCACGTGACCCCCCCCCCCCCCCGAGGGCACGTGACCTTGGTGGGGTCACGTGGGAGCAAACACGTGCCCCCTCAGAGGTCACGTGACCTCGGGGGGGGGGGGGGGGGGTCACGTGACCTGCGGAGTCACGTGACCCCCGGGTCACGTGACCAAAATTTTTCCGCCAGATTTAGCGGGGAAATTTTTTCCGCTAGATTTAGCGGGGGAAGTTTTCCGCTAGATTTAGCGGGGAAATTTTTTCCGCTAGATTTAGCGGGGAAATTTTTTCCGCTAGATTTAGCGGGGAAATTTTTTCCGCTAGATTTAGCGCGGAAATTTTTTCCGCTAGACTTAGCGGGGAAATTTTTTCCGCTAGATTTAGCGGGGAAAGTTTTCCGCTAGATTTAGCGGGGAAATGTTTTCCGCTAGATTTAGCGGGGAAATTTTTTCCGCTAGATTCGACGGGGAAATTTTTCCGCTAGATTTAGCGGGGAAATTTTTTCCGCTAGATTTAGCGGGGAAATTTTTTGCGCTAGATTTAGCGGGGAAATTTTTTCCGCTAGATTTAGCGGGGAAATTTTTTCCGCTAGATTTAGCGGGGAAATTTTTTCCGCTAGATTTAGCGGTGAAATTGTTTCCGCTAGATTTAGCGGGGAAATTTTTTCCGCTAGATTTAGCGGGGAAATTTTTTCCGCTAGATTTAGCGGGGAAATTTTTTCCGATAGATTTAGCGGTGAAATTGTTTCCGCTAGATTTAGCGGGGAAATTTTTTCCGCTAGATTTAGCGGGGAAATTTTTTCCGCTAGATTTAGCGGGGAAATTTACCCATAATGCACCGCGCGGTTACGCCGACGGCGACGCCGACGGCGACGCCAACGGCGACAGCGACGGCGACGGCGACGGCGACGCCGCTCAAGCCGGAAACGGGCCCCTAAGAGCTGCACTCTAAAACGAATTACGAAGGTACCTCACTACTTGAATTCAAATGAAACCGTCCGCCGGTCTTTCGAAGTTCGAAGAACGTCGAACTTTTACCCTAAAAGTTCGAAGTTCGTAGAACTTTTGACATGTCAGGATTGGAAAATTCGAAACTTTTCTAATTCTCTTGATAAATAAGTTTGAAAGTTCGAAAATAATCGAATTCCTTAGCGTAGGAAATCGAAAGTTCGAAAAGCTTCGAATTTTTTAGTGCACTAAATTTGAAAGTTCGAAAATCATCGAATATTTTGGTATAACAAGTTCGAAAGTTCGACAAGCATCGAATTTTGCAGCGTAATAAGCTCGAAAGTTCGAAAAGGATTAATTTTTTAGCGTCATAAGTTCGACGGTTCGAGAAGCGTCGAACTTCTTAGTTTAACAAGTCGACTTCCGTCGAATTTTACTATATAGAAAGTTCGAAAATTCGAAATCTTCCAAACATTTCGCACCCGATAGTCGAAACTTCGATTCGAAAAAAATGAAAGCCGCTTACAACTCCCTGTAACGCCGAATTAGAGCGCAGCTCTTGAGGAGGAGGAGGGAAGGGCACTGGGGGGGGGTTAAACTAACCAGGGGGGGGTCACGTTACCTTGGGGGTCACGTGACCCCCAATGCCGATGATGTCATCACTGACGTCACTGATGACGTCATCAGTGACGATGACGATGCGGGTACCGATGACGTCATTAGTGACGTCACTGATGACTTCACCAGTGACGATGACGATGACGATGCGAATGTCGGTGACGTCATCAGTGACGTCGCTGATGACGTCATCAGTGATGATGACGATGACGATGCGGATGCCGGTGACGACATCAGTGACGTCACTGATGACGTCATCAGTGATGATGACGATGACAATGCGGATGTCGGTGACGTCATCAGTGATGATGACGATGACGATGTGGATGCCGGTGACGTCATCAGTGATGATGACGATGACGATGCGGATGCCGGTGACGTCATCAGGGATGATGACGATGACGATGTGGATGCCGGTGACGTCATCAGTGATGATGACGATGACGATGTGGATGCCGGTGACGTCATCAGTGATGATGACGATGACGATGCGGATGCCGGTGACGTCATCAGTGATGACGATGACGATGTGGATGCCGGTGACGTCATCAGTGATGATGACGATGACGATGTGGATGCCGGTGACGTCATCAGTGATGATGACGATGACGATGTGGATGCCGGTGACGTCATCAGTGACGATGACGTCATCGGGGGGTCACGCGACATCGGCGGGGGTCACGTGACCTCGAGGAGGGGGCCACGTGACTTCGGGGGGTCACGTGACCCCCCACGAGGTCACGTGACCTTGGTGGGGGGCTCGCGCGGTGCATTATGGGACATTTCCCATGATGCACCGCGCGGTTACGCCGACGGCGACGGCGACGGCGACGGCGACGCCGACGCCGACGGCGACGCCGCTCAAGCCGGAAACGGGCCCCTAAGAGCTGCGCTCTAAAAAGTTCGCGGCATCCCTACGCATAATGCACCGCGCGGTTACGCCAACGGCGACGGCGACGGCGACGGCGACGCTGCTCAAGCCGGAAACGGGCGCCTAAGAGCTGCGCTCTAAAAAGTATGTACGAATAGTGGCTCGAATTTAAGTAGCATCTATAGCCATTCGTAGCCTTCAGAGTATAATTGGTAAAGACACGACGACAACTGTAGTCACTGAGATGTAGCAAGAAACGCAGAGCATGCACTCTAAAAAAAGCCCGTGCGTCTACTTTCCCGCACAACACTCGGAGAGCCAATCACCGTAACTTACGGAGGCAGCTCAGCGAATGACGATGCCGAAACATATGTTTAGACCAAAAAACGCAGACTGAGTTGTGACATTAAGCAATGCAAGCGTGACGTTTTGCATTGCTTAATGCCACAACTGCGTTTTTTGGTCTAAACATATGTTTCGGCATCGTCATTCGCTGAGCCGCCTCCGTAAGTTGCGGTGATTGGCTCTCCGAGTGTTGTGCGGGAAAGTAGACGCACGGGCTTTTTTTAGAGTGTGGGGAAGTATACGTTCGCACGTCTTGATTCGGGGTTGGTTCCTAGGCGTTTACGTCGACTAATGCACCAGTCTGATTGGCTGCTGAGCGATAATAAGATCCTCGGGATTCGCGACTCCCTGCGTTTCTTTAAGTTGTCGGTAACTAGGGGAATGACAAGGCGCTGCCCAAATCGGACCACATTTTCTCCGCATTGCCTTGCCAGTCGAAATTCGTTTCCCTCCAATGCTATAAAAAATCTCCATTTACAACGGAAGCGAAGATATAAAAGCGCACGTCCGGAAAAGCATAGTGAAAGTAAGTGTGTCGAGAGTTTGTTTAGTTAACGGGAAGGTACTCAGCCCCAATGGGCGTCTGTTGTGTATACGGAGCGCAAGTTCGTCTGCTTCTTTTCCAGGGGTTGTGGTTACGTCAGAACGCCCAGCTCTGATTGGCTCCGATTGGGAGGATTGTGGGTAGACCTCAACGCTAGCTGCCTTGAGGTCTACCCACTATCCTTTCATGAGAGCCAATCGGAGCTCTGTGTTCTGACGTCACCACAACCCCTGCAGAGGAAGCAGACGACCTTGCCCTCCGCATAAATGTTTTCTATCCGGCGACAAAAAAGACTATGTGACTGTAGAAAATTATGTGAATAGAAACAGAAATTTCTCAAATTCTACCCTCATGGTCACTGACAGAGTGAGGACGGCAAGGCGTTTTTTTTTTTTTTTTCGAGCCTCCAGCCTCCAGCCTACACTTCATGCCTTCCGCCGTGCTTTGGCTGCTCGTGCGTGCTCGAGGTGCACGAGACGCCGAAGCAATGCCGAAGCCAGGAGGGTCGCGCTGGAGCCCTCACCTTGTCAGCGACCTGCGTTTCTTCGTGGAAGCACAAAATAGACTCTAACAGCCTTGCTCTCATGAGTGGGATGTGGCATCCTTCCAGGGAACGTCTTGAAAGGCAACGTGGCGTCGTTCTTCGGCGCCGGCAGCGAGACGGTGCGAGCCGCCCTCGACTGGCTGCTGCTCATGAGCGCCGTGTACCCGGAACGCCAGAAGAAGATCCAAGCGGAGATCGACGAAGTGGTCGGAGGAACCGACCGACAGGTGGCCTGGAGCGACCGCAACAAGATGCCCTACACGCAGGCCTTCACGTGGGAGGTGATGCGCTGCAAGCCCGTCAACCCGCTCAACCTGATGCGCTAGTGAGTCGCACACTTAACCACAGCGAGTTACTGAGGAAAGAGCGTCGTCGCTACTCCGCATACGGCAAACCCATATCGCGTTTTGGATTAAAGCATGGCGACGACAGTGTTTTTTGAGTATACGCAAAGCTTTTGCATGCGTCATTCTAAAACTCGATAGTCACTCGAATGAAAAGTTTCAGTTCCGTTTCGTTTGTTTGCTTAGTTGAGGGTTCGCATCCCGGCCGTAGTGCCCGCAATCCGCGTAGGCTTATTGCCGAGCAGGGGTAACCGAGATTTCGGTTACTCGTCAAAAAATGCCCTAGTGGTTGAACCCTGAGGGTCTAGTGGTGGTTCATGCCCTCTGCTAGGACGTGCCAGATGCCCTTCATTGATTTGGCACGTTAAGCCCCCCAAATTTGATTTTGGTTAGTTGAGGCCGGGTAACGTATATCGGGTTATGTGTACTATTTAGGCGATAACTATGTTAATAAAATAACCCTTCTTAAAAAAAGAACCCCAATGATTCATAATACCATGTAATACCATATGAAAGAACCAGAAAAAAAATTAAGGTAGCTTTATTTCATTTCATTAAATTTCATTTATCCCCAGAGCACGAAGCATTACAGAGGGAGAATGGGGGAACAATGAGTCGCCAGTAAAAAAACTTACGTGGGAAAATTTAAAACAATCAGTAAGGATGCTTATCAACGCCGTTTTGAAATGAGCACTGTCAAAAATTTAAACAATGGGGGCGGAAAGGTGGTTCCATTCATGGTATGTACATGATACAAAAGAATGGTAAAAAGCATTGCAGTTTGAGTGAGGGATGCCAACTTTATGTTGATGATTGACTCGTGATGAAACATAAAAAGGAAAGTCAAAAAGTCTTTTCGCAGTGTAACGTTACTGTAATAAATTTTGTGAAATAGGAGATGTGGAAGTGAAAGGTTAACCTTCATTTACTATATACTTGCCGTTCGGTGATAGAGGAAATGAAACGTACTGATCTGTTTCGTAGGGCTTCAAGTGATGCAATTAATGAAGATTGACCAGGGTCCCAAATAGCTGGTGCATACTCTAGCTTTGGTCGTACGAGTGTTTCGTACAGTATCACCTTTAATGATTGGGGTGCCAATGACAAGTTTCTCTTCAAGTATCCCAGCATGCGATTTGCATTGTTAGCTATGTTATCTATGTGATGTTTCCATGTTAGATCAGATGTGATACGTACACCAAGGTACTTATACTCCGAGACCGACCGCAATGCAATTCCTTTAATATTAGAATCTGCAGGTACTGCTGTATATCTGGATATGCGCATAGATTTACATTTAGTTAAGTTTTATTGCATTGACCATGATTTTCACCAAAGTGACACTGCATTAATATCATTTTGTAACTGTCCTGATTCTAGGTTATTTCTTACTTCGTTGTATAGGACGCAGTCATCAGCAAATAGTGATATATTGGATGAAATATGAGATGGTAAGTCATTGATATAGATTAAAAATAGCAAAGGTCCTAAGGCTGAACCTTGTGGTACTCCTGAAGTGACAGAAACTAAAGTTGAACTAGAGTCATTGATGGAAACCAACTGTTTGCGATTATTCAAGAAAGAATGTATCCAGGTGAGACCTTTAGGGTCGATATTTAGTCTACTGAGTTTTAATAGAAGTAGTTTGCGAGATACTTTATCAAACGCTTTTGAAAAATCTAATAAGATGCAATCTATACTTGACCTCCGGTCAAGTATAGTGTGATGGTCATGTGTTAACGATGCAAGCTGTGTTTCGCATGAGAATGATTTCCGAAAGCCATGTTGGAAATGGGCAAAAGAAGAGTTTGAATCTAATAAATTTACCAAATGGAAATAAATTATATGGTCAATAATTTTGCATGGGACACGTGTCAATGCTATAGGGCGAAAGTTTAGAGGACAATGTTTAACACCTCCCTTGTGAACAGGAACCACCCTGGCGACCTTCCAATCATCAGGTAAAACACCGAACTGTAGGGATTGAATAAATATAGCAGAGACAGCAAAATTGACGTATACGTCTTCGTGTTTCTTAGGAACTTTGTATGAATATCGTCGATTCCTGCTGATGATGGAAGTTTGAGGGAATCAATCATTTTAACAATGCGTTAAGGATCAACTGCTTGCGGATACATTGGCAGGTACTCATAAGATATACAGTCAAAGGTAGGAGAGCTTGAAGGAACCGAGAAACAACTTACAGATACGTCATTGAGAATATTAGCGTAATCCACACTAGCAATGAGACTATACTATCATCGGCCTTCAATGACCCTGGAGTTTTACTGTCTCCTTTCGTGAGATTCCAAAACTGCTTTAGATTATTTATTAACATAGACGGTAAAGTTTAGTGAAAAAATATATTTTGGGTTGATCTAAAACAGTTTTGTATGAATCAGCAGCAGTGTAATAAGCGAGCCGTCGTCGACCAGTCAAATCTTTTTTCGAGCACGAAATAAACATTTCTTCTTCTTACGCAAGCTATTGAGCGCTCTATTAAACCATGGCACATCTGAATTGGAATACACCTTTCTCGGAGGAATACGCAAATTTAAAAGCCGACCAAGTTCCATGGGTAAGTTCCAATTATCATTAACAAAACGCTCATGAAAGCAGGGTAAGAAAGTTTCCATAAAAGTGCCCATCCTTATTAACTGCCTCAAAGTTAGCTTTACCGAAGTCTCCTACACTGTTGAAGATATTTGGTACAGCCGCCGACAGAATTTTTATTTTAAAATGTAATAGGCAATGATCACTTAGCGGACTTAACACGTTTAATTAGGTAAGGACGATATGCCTTACCTAATACGCGTATTTTAAGCATAACACACAATTAAAGTATTTTCGGTGCTGTGCGCCACATCTACTTAATATATATATATATATATATATATATATATATATATATATATATATATATATATATATATATATACATATATATATATATATATATATATATATATATATATTTATTTGTAAAATTATTAAAGGCAGGGTGAAGAAAACATTGACAGTTGTGTGCAATCTGACAGGGAATACATTGTAGACAACCATGGTCGAACGTCAAACCTACTTGTGCGTTCTTCATTACAAAAAACTCTTTTAATGGGTCATACTGTTCCTTCATATGGAATAATGTGATATAGGTCGTATAAATGAGTATGTCTTCTTTTGTATTTTTTCCACGGGGAATAAAAGTGTTGCAATACGACCAACTCTAGAATACGCTTCTTTAATTTGGGATCCTTTTAGAGCCCATCAGATAACTAAACTTAAAAAAATACAAAGAATGGCATCCAGATTTATATTGTCGAGATATCAAACAAGAGAATCGGTGCCGGAAATGCTTAACGGCCTAAACCTTCCAGAGCTCTGTGACTCTAGAAAAATAGCTCGCCTAATATTTTTTATACGCTAAAATATTTTCATTTTAATTTTAATACTGACCCTTAGATAGCTGCTCGGCAAAGCAGGCCCCTCAGGGGCAACCACTTGAACCAATAGCAACTATGTACAACAAGTAATGATACCCACATAAATACTCCTTTTTTCCAAGACCTATGTCAGGCTGGAACGGCCTACATCAAGAATTAACAACAGCAAATACACTAATTTTATTGAAAAATGACTATTAAACCTTTTTGATAAAAATTAGCCCGCCCACTAGTGTATCATATTCACGTAAAATCATTAGATTTCTTCTTTTTTTTTTCTGTGTGATTATATTCTATGCATCCTTGTTTGGTGACTTTTTGAAGATTTATGAATTCAGTGTCGAGCGCTGTGTATTTTTATAAATGTATCAAACACTTGTCCCACTTTTTTTGTTTTTCGTGTGTGTGTAGGGACGTTTTTTGTGTATTCACGTATGTTTCACGTGTATGTTTTACACTGTTGTTGTCTTAGTGTCGGCGTTTCGTTTATTTTATCAAATGTATTCTCATGCTTTGTGCACTCCTGTAACAACCCTAGCAAGCTAACATTACGCATAAAAAAAAGACGAATGCTCGAGAAAGGGCAGGTTCAGTTTTCCGCTTATCTGAAAAGCAAAACTCGGTCAGCCATTGAGAATTTTAAATACATAAGCTTATCCTTGACTCTGTTATCCTTGTCCTTGTCCTTGTTCTTACCTCCGATTTCGCAAGTGCAGTGCAAGCAAGGACGTTGTCGTGGGCGGTTTCGTGATTCCTGAGGGCAGCGTCGTGATCGCATCCTTCTGGTCCGTGTTCTACGACGCCAAGTTCTGGGGTGACCCGGAGTGCTTCCGGCCGGAGCGGTTCCTCGTGGACGGTGGCACCCGGGCAGTGAAGCCGGACTGCTTCATCCCGTTCTCGTACGGTGAGTCCTCGGCTGTCCGCTTCCATTGGCCACTCTGTAGGCGATCGGAAATGTGTTCGTGTGTGTGTTTGTGTGTTTGTGCATGTGTGTGTGTTTGTGTTTGTGCGTGTGCGTGTGTGTGTACGTCCGCGTGCGTTTCCTTCTAGCGCAGCCCATCCAGAAAACACAAATTCACATTTGATTTCTGTAAACTTTTCAAGCTACGAAACTTTCGAAAACAGAACAATTTCGTTCGATATAGGTGCGTTTACACGGGCGTTCGAATGGCAAGCGCGAAGCGGATCTTCTCGTTTTCAAATTCAAACGCACGTGAAATTGTATGCGCCAAGAAAGCGAGGGAGAGGAGGAGACAAGAGGAGGTCAGAATGTCGAGCACGAATTGGAAGGATTATTGGGTAGACCTCAAGCTAGCAGCCTTTGGTGCTCCGGAGCGCGAGAGTTTGGCGCTCCTTTCACTCAACGGGCAGGAGTGCCATGCACCGGAGACTGACACTGGAGAGCTCTTCCTGCACCGAGAATTTCTCGGAGCGCGACTGACTTCTTCGCGCTCCGTGATGGATGATGGGGGGGGGGGAGGCCGCCCATGACAAAATGCTGTATGAGGGCGAGGGGGGAGAGGAGGTCCCAGCAAAATGGAAGATTTTTGGGGGGGGGGGGGGGGGGCCGGGCCCTATGGGCCTTCCCCCTGGCTACGTGCCTGGTCTGCGTAGACGCTGAGCCGCAGCATGCTGAGCTTTTCGTTCGTTTTCGTCCATGTCAGAAAGAGAATGTGTGGTATGGAACGTGGTTGTATACGCATTTGAGCATTTGACCGCAGCGCCCTCTCGTCTATAAACGTTGAGCCAATGCATGCAAAGTTTAACGCGATGATCTACGCATTTGACCGCAGCGCCCTCTCCTGTATAGACGTTGAGCGGCTACATGCAACGTTTCATCCATGACATCCCCAGCTCTTGAGTTACTACCACATCTCAGAGCCCCCTACTCGTCCCGCAGTCGTGGCCGAGTGGTTAAGGCGATGGACTAGAAATCCATTGAGGTCTCCCCGCAAGAGGTTCGAATCTTGTCGACTGCGCAAATATATATATATATATTTTTTTTTAAGAAGACAGCTGGGATGGCAATCGATGTGAGCACGGACGCCGGACAAGGCTAGACCGTAAGGAACTTCGCCTACGTGCTATTGAACGACGGTATGCCGGTATCGGCGTAGCTTCCGTCTGCGAGATGGAACCACGGAATCTCTGACAAATTTGAGGGTTTCCTTCGTCGACGAGAGGGTTCAAGATTGTTGTCTTTAATTTAAATAGGATAAACATGCGTGCTCAATGATTGGATCGGCCAAGGCGACTTTCTACCTATGTGCATGAAGCGAGTGTTCAAACCTTCTAGGAATATTAAAAGCGTTCGTAGAAACTTCATAACGCCGAAGTCTTTTTTGCTTAAGACTCTGCCGTTCCACACGGGCCTAATTCATTTATGTTCGAAAGAATTTCGGCTTATGTCCCCCGTATCCAGGAGAAGCCTGTTTCGTCATAACCATGCGGTCGCAAGGAGCTTGTGTGGCTCGTCGATAGTTTCGGGCCGTGTTTCAAAACTTACTCGATCTAACTCTATAGAGAGTTTTCGAAAAACTACCCGCGTCCAGCGTTCGTTTATTTTTTATGACACGTGACCATAAAGTGCCAGGGTAACTCGGATTCATTCGAGTATATATCTATAGGTTTGGAACGCAGCCTCGGTGTGTCGCGCTCCTGTGCTCCTTGCGTCGTTTAGTTGCTGTGTTCGGAGTATAACCACCGAATTCAGAAACCTCACTCAAACTACGCTCAAACTGAAGGGCCCCTCCACTTCCTCGAGGAAGGCGCGAGGGCCGGCGCTGGCCAATCGCGGCCACCTGTCCGTCATCGCGATTGGCGAGCGCCGGCCCTTGCGCCTTCCTCGAGGAAGTGGAGGGGCCCTTCAGTTTGTGTGTAGTTTGAGTGAGGTTTCTGAATTCGGCGGTAAAACTCGGAGCGTCGGAGTAGGATTAAAGGAGCGCGGACTTAACGCGCCCTTTGTCTCCAGTGCACTCGTCGACCGCTTTAGAACCCGGATCAGAGGCGTCCGGCGTTTGACTCTTGCGTTCCAACGCGTCCGACGAGTGCAGTGGAGACAAGGGCAGGTAGGCTTAGGTCTACCCCAGTAATCCCTCCAATCAGAGCTCGGCGTTCTGCCGTCTCCTCTGCGCTCTCGTCCAATCCTCTCCCTCAGTTTCTGGGCGCATTGAATCTTTAAGCAATCGCGTTCGCAACCGCATTGCGAACGCGGTTCGACTGCGAGTGCGAACGCGGTGCAAGAAATGTTCACGTTATCTTCCCGAAGGAAAAATCGATCAATGTAACCCTGTTTGGCAGTCAATGTTTTCTAGTGGACCGCTGACTGTGCCTGACTGTACGTCAAGCATGTCTGATTGGCCAACAAGTTACTCTGACCGACAGTCAAACTCCAGTCAGACTCTGCTTGTCGGCTTTCTGATGGTTTCCTGGTGGCAGTCGGCCGCCGCGAAATTCCATCAGGATGTCTTGGTGGCGATTCTGACTGTACATCGATTGTCTCTGATTGTACGTCAGAAAGCTTTGACGTGCAGACAGACGTACGGTCAAAGGACGTAAAGCTCGTTCGGACACCACTATTTCGTCAAATCTATGAATACGAAAAGTAATCTATGCACGAGAAAACGATTTCGGGACGTGAGCCCATAAAACCGCTGACGTTAGATATTTGACACGCAACCGACCGACAACCTTGATCAGAAGCCCGCCGAAGCGTCGAAAACGACACTTCGCTTCGCCCATAGAGGCTTCGCCGCTTCGCCGAGCTTTCATGAACGATCGCTCTCGACTCGTTTTGTTTGCCCGCTTGCTCCAACCTGTCGATCCTGCCAGGGTTCTACAATGACCTATGTTTTAGTAGAATTTCTACCCGACAAGACCCAGCCTGTTGTGAGTTCCGACGATGTAAGGGACTTTAGCGGTGTAGTTCTGAGCACGTCGCTCGCTCTGGGAGGCAACCAGCGGCCTCGCAGCTCTGAGAACGATCGCGACGCCAGGCTGTTCGCTGCCGACGAAGTGTCCGCCAGCGTGGAGGAGCCCCTACTGAGCCCCGAAGGAGACCAGCCTTTCGTCCTACCCGTCGACAGGCAAGCGACGCTAAACCCCAAGCTTCTCTAAGCGGTTTCATCTGGGCTAGGGAATAACAAGCATGGCGTCCGCACGCACGTTTTCGCGGCTCCGCTTCTGCCTTATTTTTGTTGCGCTAGTCAAGCTACGTCTAGACGACTTCACGGGCCTCGAGACTCATGAGCGTTCCAGGCATCCCCTGACCCGTCTGCAGACCTACCCACCCCTCTCCAGCTGGGTTGCCGTTGGGGCTACGCCGTCGCTTAGGCCTAACCGGCCGGGCTACTCGCCGGATCGCCGTCGGTCCTCCACCGCTGGCTTCACGATGCACACTCCTCGTCACCACATCGTCTGGTGCCTGCTTCTCGCAGGCGATATCGCTCCCAACCCGGGTCCGCAGCAAACTATTTGCGCCTGTTGCACGAAGCGGGTACGGGACAACCAAGCCGCTCTCTGTTGTGACACTTGTGAGGGGTGGTTTCACCGCGGCTGCGTCCACATGTCGCTGGGACAATACCGCCGACTGGGCTCCTGCAGCGATCCGTGGTTGTGCATGGTGTGTTCGCTGCCGCACTTCTCGGACGATTATTTCGACGTCCCTAGCAAAGCTCCAAGCCCCCTTTTACCGTCGCCAACCCCCGACATCGCGGACGGCCGTCGGGTCGGTGCCGGAAACCAGACCCATCCTTCTGGTGTCAACAAGGGGTTGACGCTATGGTACACTAACTGCCGTAGTGTCAAAAACAAGATTTTCGACCTCCAAGCCACTGTCGCATCACTCGCACGTCCTGCCGTCATCCTCCTAACGGAAACTTGGCTCGATCCCGGGGTCCACGACAGCGAGCTCTTCGATCCCTCTTACACGGTGTTCCGGAAGGACAGACACGGGAAGGGTGGTGGTGTACTCATCGCAACACCGTCCAGTCTCTGCGTTAATCGCAGGGAGGATCTCGAGTCCTCTGACCTCGAAGCTGTCTTCGTGGAGGTGTTCCTCCCGCGTGGGACTGTTCTGCTTGCTTGTGTGTACTGCCCACCCAATCGCCGCGAAGAATCGTACTCACTCTTGGACGCTTCGCTCTCTCGCGTGAGATTCGAGTGCTACAAGGATGTCGTTCTCCTTGGCGACTTCAACTCCCATATTGACTGGTGGAGCCGCCAAGAACCTTATCCTAGCGACCTCACCGATGATATCCTCCTTGACGTCACATCTGCTGTGGGCCTCCAACAGGTGTGCCGCTCTGCCACCTACCAAGCCCAGCTTGCGCAGGGCCGTGCCCCATCATTTCTCGATCTGGTTTTTACCACAGACATCACTCGGATGCTCTCCTGTGACGTGTATCCTGGCCTGTCCGGGAGCGACCACCAAGCAATAGAGGTTGAGTATGCCACTTGTCTCCCTCGAAAAGGCCGGTTCGCACGGACTCTGTGGAACTTTTATCGGACCGACCATGCCCATATGGCTAAGTTAGCCCATCTTGCACCCTGGTGTCTTACCACTGGGGACGATTGCGCTGACAACTACGAACTCTGGTGCGACTTTGTTGGCGCCATCCAGAAAGAATGCGTGCCCTGCTCGCGTAGTTCCACGCGAAGGAAGAGGTCCCCTTGGATCACCCCCGAAATCAGGAAAATGGCTGGCCAGAAACGAGCCCTCTTCAAACGTGCCGCTCGTACACAGTGCCAGATTTCACTTCAGAGTGCTAAAGATTTGCAGCGCTCAATCAAGTCTGCCATCTCTCGTGCTCACAGTGCTTACGCCCACACCATCTCTATGAAGGCAAAAAAGGACCCTAAGCTGTTCTGGCAGTATTTCAATGGGCTTCAGTCTAGCCGACAGCG